GTGTGCATGCATGCACATAGCTGCATCAGGATTGCCCACTAGCAGCTGCTGTTGCCACCCATTCAGTTCCAGTTTCAGCTGGACCCTAATACCATGCTCACACATATACACACAGGGCGAGGCTCATGTGCGGCAGGGCTGAAAATTAGAGGGAACATTGGGTCCATTTAGTTCCAGTTTCAGCTGGACCCCAATCCCATGCACGCATATACACACAGGGCGAGGCTCATGTGCAGCAGGGCTGAAAATTAGAGGGAACATTGGGCTGGAGAAAAGAAATTCAATAAAAGGAAGTACAAAATATAAATTGAAGGATCACCTCACTAGGAAATATTACTTCTGAAAAATATTTAGAATCAACTGTATAATCTTGTAGGCATGCTATGCTATATAGTTCTACCAGTTTTGCTTTCACTGTCATTGTTAGGGTTCCATCTTATAGAATGCTAGGATGTATAGTTCGGTAAGGGACTTCTCCGCTATAGTTCAAAGGAGGGCATTTGAGCTCCTTTGAAGAGAATGTATATCTTTCACCAAACTAGAATTCTCAGGATTCCATCAGCCAGAACATGACATGACAGAACCGTTAGAATACTGTAAGTGTGTTAAAGTGGACACTATCACTTTTTTAAAAGGTATCATTTTAGATTGTGGCTACAGGACCCTCATCTGAAAGACTCAGCAAGAGATGATACAGTTCAATTTAGCTCTGGTAAGACCCCATTTGTACCATACTGTTTAATCCTGGGATAATTCAGTAAACTCTCTGGGGGAATTATAACAATTCATTGGAGATATTCAAGCTTTTATACTATATTTCTTCTGTACTATCCTAACAGATGAAGAGCCACGCAGAATCAACAGCTAGCTTACACCTGTGATTGTTTGTTTTTTTTTGTGGGGTTTTTTTGTGGTCTAATAGACGTATCACTTTTCCTTGACTTTGGATTGTATACAAAGACCATTCAGTATTTTTTAAAAAAGCTATAAGACATTATTTGAAAATGCTGGCTGAATTCCAATTGCAGCTCAGCTGGTACTTCCAAACTAACTCAAATCTTGATAGGCAATAGCATATACAATGTACACAGTACATGAAATCAGTGTGTGAAGGGCTAACATGGCCGAAAACCTTTTTAAAAAATCAACATGCATGTAGTCGAGCTCTGTAAATAAATCAGGATATTTACATTTAGAATGTGACTAGCAGCAATATCACCCCATCATGAGTCTGCAAAAAGTGTTCATGGTATTGGATCACTATATGGCACCCAGGTGCTGTTGAGTGTGTACTATTGCAAGAGGGTGAACAGTGGAGGTAAATCATCTTAGGCTGGGAGAGATGGGTGGCTGTTAATAGGCTGGTGGCCTATTGGAAAAAATATATCAGTGCCTTTGTTCTCCCTTCTTTACAAGAAGAAGGTAGAGCCAGGGCAAATGAGACTTTCAGGGGTTAAGGAACAGGACTGTGTTGCTGTGTTAAGAATGATGAGGAGACTGGTCTCCGTGATGAGGAACAAAATGGGACGTAGCTGCTTGAGAGAGAGAGCAACAGATGGCATCTGACCAATCTAGGAATGGTAGAAGACTTTGTTTTGGATCATTTTCTGATGAAAGATTTCCAGAGGTCAGAAACTGTGTCATATTCAGATTTTTTTAAAAAAATACTTGTTAGTAATAAAAATAATAATTTAAATGCAAACCAGATAGCGGACAGATTCATCCATCCAGAACCAAAGATATTTAGCCATATTTGTAATGAAGCTAGGGTTGCCATTTCTTTCTCTCTTTTTTTTTCCCTGAGAAGCTCCTCATATTTAACACATAAATAGCTGACAGGTACAACACAATTCTAAAAATAACTCTCTATCCATTAAACTAGGTCAGGGAGATGGTGAAATTTTCATTTCCATTTGTTCCAGAAGACTTCATTAATACTTACTAATTACATATTTGAGAGAGACAGAATCTAATGCTTTTAAAATGTATAGCCAAGAATATGTGGAACTGGTGTATTTTTCTATCGCTGTCACATTCCCATGTGCAGACACACACTTAGAGAGACAAAAACAGAGAGACACATTCCCATAGAACCTGCCACTTTGGCAGTTTGTGGAGGTTTGCCCTTTGGACACAAAAAAAAAGTGTTTGGCAGTTCCCAGCCCCACCTCCTTCAGCGTGCACCCACTCAGAGGCAGCACTTAAAGGAGGTGGGGCAGAGAAGCTGGAGTACTGCCTCTGAGTGGATGCTCACTGGAGGAGGTGGGGCTGGGAACCACCTAACACCTGTTTGTCCAAAAGACGAACTGCCAAGAACCACTGAAGCAGTGGTTTGTGCCCATCTCTAGTATATACAGTGGTGTCTCGCTTAACGGTGATAATTTCTTCCAGGAAAATCGCTGTTAAGCGAAAATGTTGTAAAGTGAAAATAAAAAGCCCATTGACATGCATTGAAAACCGTTCAATGCGTTCCAATGGGCTAAAAACTCACCATCCAGCGAAACCGCCGATCAGTTGTTAAAAAAACATTGTTTTGCAAAGAATCGGTTCCCAAAGCAGGGAACCGATCATTGCAAAGCAAAAAAACCCTATTTAGTCCATCGTTTTGCGATTGCAAAAGCTTCATCGTGAAGCGGATTTGTTGTAATGCGGGGTAATTGTAAAGCGGGGCATGACTGTAATATCCAAAGTCAATCACACAATATCCAAAAAGTAATATTTAATTAAGATTTGAATAGAAAACAACAGCAATTTGAAGATAAATTAAGGAGCTAGAAGAATAAACCACTGCATGGACAAGATCTGAAAAATAATGATGGAAAACATGAGAATAACTTGGGCATGACTAAAACTGGGGAATACCAGGAAAAAAAACCAAAGGCTTGATCTGTGCTGCACAACAACAAGCAATCCAATCTAATATCATGAAATCTAAAATTCAAGAAATTAGTATAAACAGAAAATTCCAACTCTGCCAAGAAAAAAAATATGAAACTGTCACATCTCATGTGTGAATGTTCAAAGATTGCACAGACTATAAAGCTAGACATGTTGAGTTACAAAATTAATACACTGGTCACAATGAAGAATATATTTGCCAGCATCCAAGAATCCATGAGAACAATAGAGGAGATGTCAGAAAACAACCAAGTTAAAATCTTGGGGGACGTTTGGATTTAAATGCAAACCTTAGGCATAATACACCAAACATAACAGTAATAGAACAAAAAAAGAATCTGGATAACAGACATTACAATTACAGGGGATGCCAGAGTGAAAGATAACGAACTGGAAAAATTAACAAAATAACCTGGCAATAGAAATGTGTGGATGAAACACATTTCAGTATTCCCCATATTCATTGGGGCACTGGGAACTTTATAAAATATTACAATCAGTTGCAATCTCTAAAATAATACCATCAGAGCTGCAAAAAATAGCAATATTAGGAACAGCATACAGTTTTTTAACTGACGCATGTTTTTGGTTAAAACCTGTATGTTATATAATACTAATATAATACAGTATTATATCTTGAATCTGTAGTTTTTTAACGGACACATGTTTTTGGTTAAAACTTGTATCTGTTACATAATGCTAATATTATAATACAGTATTATATCTTGAATCTGTATCTTGTATTTTTAAATAATAATACTAAATCTTAGCAATTCTTTTACTCCCTATCTATAAAAATATAATTTAAAAAAAAATCAATTTCCTGACTTTCATGAAACCCCAGTTACGTTCCTGAAGCAGCTACCTAACTCTCCCTAATAGTAGGTCCACTTCAGAAATGAAGATTTTTCTTCCTTGCAGTGTGAATGTAGAGACTAGAGATGGGCATGATCCTGGTTCATCAGATCATGCCAGATCATCATTGTGACATCATAGGTGCTGCACATTCCCTTTCCCCATCCCCCTGGCCAGATTCCCACACTCACAAGGCAGCACATATTCCTCTCCTACTCCTCTTCAGATGTTTGACCATTCATGGCAAGAGCACCGATTTCCCTTCTCCACCTCTTCCAGCAACTGGCCACTCAAATGCTCAACAGCAGCACTCCCTGACCCATCCCCTCATGTGAATGGGCAGCTGCTGGAGGAGGCAGAGAAAGGAAGCCCAAGCTCCTGCTGCAACTGGCCAGATATTCTAAGAGGAAGAGGAGTGTGCGCATGAGTGGGGGAACCTGGCTAGGGGGGTGGGCAAAATAGATTTGTGGCACCTGTGGTATTGCAGTGATCATCCAAAACAATCCAACAACCCATGATCATGTCCATCTCTACTGGAGAATGAAATTTTGAAGAAAGAACTTAATATAAGGGTTTGTGGAGTTTTGTTTTGTTTTTTGCATTATATCTTCAGAAAATACATACAGGGAAAATGAACTGAAGAGGATGTGACTGGGGGACTGAAGAGGAAATGAATGTTTGTGATCAGGCTTTTAACTAACACAGGGCAGCTGGATCTTTGACCTAGGAAACTGAAATATAAAAGGCATCCAAATTTGCTACTGCAAGAGTGTGAACCTGCCCATTGAATTTTGGGACTTCATCCCACCTACCCAAAGCATTTATACCACGTCCAAGCACTCCAACCCTGGAATACACAACCAGTAGGCTCAACATGAGAATCAACACGAGAGTTCTAAGTCCAAGAAATAACTTTTGGAAAGTCAGAGGAGTGTGAATAAAGGCCTTTAATTATCAGTGGGACTGGTCACTGCCCCCTTTCCACCTGGGAATAAGCACATTCTTTCCAAGAGGGACTGGCAGTGTCTAAATTTATCATGCTAACCAGTTCCCATCACTTCATTTGGGGTTTCTTCCTTTAGCTCCCCTCTGTTGATGCCTGATGATACCCTGTCCCTCCTCCACCCCCATAGGGCTCCCAACCACAGAGAGGCAATGCACCTCCTCACGCACGCCACAGATTTCTTGTACACACACCCCACAGGACACCTATTTATGCCCCTCATTTTCATAATTGAACATCTTACCCAAGATGATCTTTGAATTGTCATTGGGGAAGTACGGAACCGCCTGGAGGTTCGACCAGACCGCAATAAGTTCTTGAGGAAGTGTCACCAATTTATTGCTTGAGAGATCGAGGTAAGTGATGTTCCGGATGTACTGAGCTGCTTCTGCTGGTATAGAGGCCAGTTCGTTGTTGTGCAAGTCCAGCAACCGTAGCTGGGGCATGCTCAGCAAGGCATCCCAGGGGAAGGAGGTGAGAACATTTCCGTCCAACCTCAACTCTTGCAAACGGCGAAGGCCCCTAAAGTTAGTGATGCTGAGACTTGCCAAAGAGTTGTAGGGCATCCAGAGGAATTCCAGGTTGCGGAGTGCATGGAAGGACTCCCCAGGGACTCTTCGAATGGCTGTCTTTTCTATTCGGAGTTTAAAGGAATCCCCTGGGAAGTTCACAGGTGCCAGGGTCATTTCTGGGTCATTGCACAAAACTGTTCTGTTGAAATAAATAGTAGGTTGAAATTATTCTCTTTCACACAGAATAGAGCTACTGAGTATGCAGCATAAAATGAGTCAGCAGTAATTTGTTGGTCCATCTATGATCATCAAGGCTATCTCCAAATGACTGAGGCTCTTCAAGACTTTCCCCATCTTGCAATCAAAGATTGTTTGACCAAAAGTACCAGAAACACATCATCGCAGACTCTAGTCAATTTTAGATAGTGGCAAGACTCTGACATGCTTAGGTGGGCAGGTCACGCTCGCATAAACGTGGCAACCACCTAAAAAATAATTCTAACCAGCAACAACAAGACTGTCCATCAGAGACACTAATACAAGAACCAGACCTTGGGGCAAACCCAAATGCCAGCCCTGCCCACGTATTTACACGGGAAACACAATCAAAGGACCAAACAAGATAATTAACAATATCAGGCGTTCATACACTTGCTCATCCTCTGCCCACGTCATCTTCTGTTAGCAACCCACTGTATTTTATATAGGACAACGAGGCCAAACTCTACCTAAGTGAGTAAATGGGCACAAAACCAGAAATAGAAATACCAAAAAAAACACACAAAAAAAACTGTAGGCAAACACTTCAGTGTATATTCTTTCTTTGATTTCAGAGTCACACTCCTTGAACAGATAAGTTTCAGGGACTGTTTCCAAAGGAAGTCTATTGAGCCAGAATACGTCAGGAAGTTTAGCACATCTTGTCTAGGTTTTAACAAAGACAATGGTTTCCTGTGTCATTATATATACAGTACTAATCTAATAATCCAAACCTTCATCACTCAGTCAGTCCCTAATCACCACCACTGTGATGGAATTAATCACTTCCTATTGTCTATTAAAGACCTAGTTTTAAACTGTCAGCAAGGAGAACTATTGGTGGCTTAGAAGTTAGAACTGATACATATGGTGTTTAACATTCAGGGAATGCTTTCCCCATAAATACCTAAGCAACAGAAATCCTTTGAAATTGCAGAAGATTCTGGGCCTGTTCAAGGGAAGCAATAGGAAATATGTGTTTTTCCAAATATTGCTGAACTGCAATTCCCATGATCTCTCATGTGACCTAAAGCTGTAAAGAGTTGCAATTCTGTAACATCTGGCGAGTCACATGTTCTTCACTCCTGTTGCATAGTCCACACTCATTCTTTTCCAGGCCTTGTTTTATAATGTATTCAACAAGTCTTTGCAGCTGCACAGGATATGATGGTAGTGGTAAGTAAGCAGTAGAGGTCTGCTGTTTTTGGACCATGGCTCCCCGAATTTGCAACCCTGCACAACCAATGGCTAAAATAATTTTCCCACTTCTGGCTTGGTCAACACAAGAAAAAGAGAAGCAGGAGATATGAACTTTAGCAGCTGCACCGACATAAGACTGACAAGAAAAGAGAAACCGAAGTGGGGGGGAGGCAATAGAAAGATAGAATCTAGTGTCCTAAAGTGAACCACTCAAAATCCATACAGCAATGTGTTCATATTTTTTTGCACGATTCTAGTAGTATAACTCTTGAGAGTTATACTACTAGAATACTCTTGGCTCTTGAGAATCCCCTGGACTGCAAAGAGAACAAACCTATCAATTCTAAAGGAAATCAACCCTGAGTGCTCACTGGAAGGACAGATCCTGAAGCTGAGGCTACAATACTTTGGGCATCTCATAAGAGAAGACTCCCTGGAAAAGACCCTGATGTTAGGAAAGTGTGAAGGCAAGAGGAGAAGGGGACGACAGAGGATGAGATGTGTGGAGAGTGTCATCGAAGCAAGCAACATGAATTTGACCCAACTCCAGGAGGCAGTGAAAGACAGGAGGGCCTGGCGTGCTCTGGTCCATGGGGTCATGGTCGGACACAACTTAACAACAACAAGTAGTATAAGCCATTACGTTATTAAAAAGAGGATGAAAGGGGGAAAATTGAAAGAAGGCAAGAACCTATGCTCTGCCAACTGAGTGGCTCCTACAGCACAGTGACCTCACTCAGAGAGCCTGGGCTTCCTTATACAGGTGTGAAGCTGCCATTCTTTTTTGTAAGGTGCTTTTGATTCCTTTGGCTACACTTTTAATCACAAGATGTCTTTTTATGTCAGCATTTTAAATCCCACAAATACAGGGTTTAACTAGAAGGATCGCTGGAGTTGCCACTCTACTCCATGAGATTCTGTTCCACCCTGGGATTGCCTCAGAAATTACAAATAGCCCCGATTCAGTCTGTATTTAGATGTTTGTCCAGAACAGTACACGTTTCTAATAAAAATGCAGAAGACAATGCCAAAGGCATGTTTCCCTTGCCACTGGCATAAAACCTGAAAAATATCTGTCCAGTGTTTCTAAAAATCATTCATTACCCCCAATGTAATATATGTGCCACTAGTTATAGCTAAAAGCAACTACATTTACATTGCTTACCACCTGAAATAGTGAAAGATAACATAGAATTTCTTTCTGGCAAATTAAATAGAAATCAGAAATCAGCCAATCATTGTTTAAGCTCACACATACACAGAGAAAGAACTATTTATATAAATAACTGCTTATTTTTAATAAAATTGTAAGTTTGCATTGAAGTGAGGAAGGAACTACATAGTAAACAAACAGCAACACTAACACTATTAACTATTTCCAGCCCTGATCCACTGCTCTTGCAGGGTTGATAAGACCAACATCAGGAACTTTCACTGCACATCTTGGCAGTGGGACAAGTGGGACTCAGCCCCATTGCTATGGGGAAGAAATCAAGGGCAGGAAGGAGATCACAGGGACCACGGAGCTAAGAAAATCCCATTACACAGCAAGGAAATTGGAAATCCTGTAGAGTGGTACTGATGTCAAAATCGAAGCATCTCTCTGCTGAAGAACTATAGGGCAAAATAAGCTCCGCCTCCCTGTGAAAAAAAGGAGGATTCCCATGCTCTGTGGTCTTCTATTTTATACTGAGTCATTTCTTGATAGGACTCATATGTGGTTCTTTAAATAATCAGCATGTATAAAATCTCTTTGTGTAAGTTATGTAATTAATGAAGGGTTCAAAATATCTTCATCCAGTCTTTCTAAGATCCCCTGATTCCTGAAACTGGCTCCCAGTATCCTGCCATTCCAAGAATGCTAGGATCCAAGAGCCAGGATCCAGTACAGGGGATTCTTAATTAGATCAAAACAGAATGGATTCTCAAACACTGAAGTCACTTGGGACAGGAATCAAGCTGAGTCCACCCTAATAATCTTCCTGATGCTCCTTTTTTACTTCCTCTGTTATTAGTGAATTCTTGAAATTCTTCCCTAGTGGAAAAATTAAATGCCACAAAATACATTTTGCCTGTGGCCTAAGTGATTCCCTAGGGCAGCTTTTGCTAACCTCTGAATGTATTGGATTCCAATCTCTACTATCCATGCCTTCTGAGGATGATGGGACCTGGAGTCTAGCACAGCTGGAGAGCAGTGGGTTGGAGAAGAATGACTTTGGATTTCACATATAAACTCACAGCATTGGAGGGACTTGCTCTTACTTTTTGCACTGAGATGTGACTAAAAATTACCTGTGTCAAGTATGTATCCATCCTCATCATAAAAGTCTTTAGAGAAAGAGGAAGACATTTGGAATGTTTAGAATGTATTTACCTTACTTGACTACATCTTACCTTCATTCTACCACGTTAAACTCCCTTAATGATTTTCCTTTATAGGTCTATGAGAAATAATGAAACCTACATGGCAAAGACTTATTTCTGCTTTTGTTCCTATAACAACAAGCATTGTTCCTTAGTCTGTAAGGAACAATGAGATCCTCATGGCAACTAGATATATCCTTACTTTTGTTCCTAAAACAGAGTTAAAGAACAATTTAAATAATGTGCTGGCATTTTTGCAAGAGCACATTCAAATATAACACAACATCTCTCTATTACAGCATACAGTGCTATTATCATAACTGAGTGAATTGCCAAAGATCCACATGAGATACTAAAATTGAAGTTCTATCATTTTGGTCAGCTTTATCATTATACTAAAAAACTGCTGTGCATATCACACACACATATGTTTGTAGTATACCTATGTCTGTCTATAACATATGTGAGCTATGAGCAAGGAAGTCAGAGGGTCAGTCATGAATTGACTCTCCAGGCAGACTCAGGCAAACCATTTTATCTCAGGCTAAGTATTTCATCTGCAGTGTGGAGATAAGGATCATGAGCACTCATATAGGCTCATTGAAAGGATATTGGGAATCATGGAAATTAAACATTTTAATGTGACAATAAAGGCATTTACAGGGACAAGAGCTAGGTGTTACATATAGTCATTTATTTTATACTGTTTTCATAATAGTTTCCAAAGATAGTGTGGTTTAAAAACTGTTCTTACCTATGTAGATCAACCAAGAACCTCAAATTCTACACATCTGTCTGACTGTCCCTGAAGACAGTTTCCTCACTTAAGGGTTCATTTTGTATATTTGTAAAAAGCTTGCACATATTTTGAATCAACATCTTTAGCCATAAACTGCATGCATGCCCTTGAGAAGATGAAACACTCTGTTGCTGCTCTTAATTTATCATACTCTATTGAAAACTGTTATTCAAGACTTGTAGTAAGAAAGAAAGATATTGAATCTCAATAAAAGATGTATTATAGATGTTTCTTTTTTTAAAAAAGAGTTCATAATAATTTTTAGTATGAATATATTTCAACATAGCTTTAAAAATTTTATTCCTTTGCATACATTCTTCAACAGTTCAGTTTTAGAGCACCTCCTTTCTTTAACATTGTACACATATTAATTATATTGCTTCGGCCTTTGTGTATAGAAGATCATCAAATGCCATCTCTGAAATCAGATTACAGTGTGCTCTGTAGCTAATCCTACAGAACATGAAGCCTTAATACAAAGTGATTGGGAAAACAACATTTGCAAGTAAGACTGATAGAACCGCTCATGTCTACTTGGGATTTCTGCTTAGGCAGCATTCCAGATTTGAAAGTCCTCC